ATATGGACCGCAAAACAAAAATGTCCCTGGTCACCTTAGCTTATTTTGTTATGAGATGATAATGTAAATTACTCTTCAAATTAGTTAATGTAAAAATCGTTTGGTTTCTTTTACATCAAAAACAAGTTACAATTTTCAAAAGGTCTTGTGTTTTTTTCCGGGGGGAGGCCCTTTTTCCAGTTTAGAGCAATAGCCCCTCCAAATGTCTGTGCACGTCCCTGTTCATATTTGTATTTTGTGCTTCTACTGTGACATGTTTCCATGCTTTAATGTTCAAAAGGTGTGATTGGGTAGCTGGCCGGCTCTGTTGTGATTGTTCAACCGCTTAGAGATTTCCTGCCTCTTTTACTACCTAATTATCTCTTAAAGTCTTTAATTACTCATGCTGGTCATCTGTTGATGTCCCGCATGAAAGCAGATTGGTTGGGCGATGAACCAAACAGGGATTCTTGTTATCCAGGCATGTTCCTTTTTTCCCTCAAACTAGCTCGGAGAAAGTGATTTTCCCATGGAAATGTCAATTTAAAAGTCAATGATGTCATCCATGTCGGCGTACCAAGAAACACCCCTAATTCTAACATGTATGAGGTAATAATTGGACCAGCGGGACTAAACAGTGGAGTATAGCAGCTAAGGATCTGAATCGGCACAGAGGCTATTTCAGCACTATACAAGAGGTCATAAGGTCAATAACAACTGAGCATGTTTTCCACTGACACAGGAGGGGCAGAAGGAAAACACAAGATGTTTGCTTTCCTTGACTTCCCTTTAAGTGAGTTTTCAAAGGAGTACACATGCAGCCTAAATGAGCATAATGACAGATGGGAAGAGGTATTTATTTATAAAGGACCACCTACGTAACTCACTTTTGGATATAAGATGGACCTAAACAATTTCGAGGCAGAAGAGATAATTAAAGAGTGGTACAATAAGACGCACAAGTACAGGGAACTGCAGTGTGATAGTCATTCTTAAATATTTGTTAGTTCAGGCATTTTCTTTTGTGCACCCTTGACGAAACCACACTCTAACCAGACGTAACTTCTGTTTAAACTTAGAACGTGTGTGTCCTCTAACTCTGCAGGCTGCTGTCCGTTCTGTGTCAACACAATCAGGAGCATCTACTTAACAGAAGTCAGTAGTGAGTAAATACACTCTGTAAGTCTGTATAATTACAGTTGGTTTAATTTTATCTGCTGTGTATGTTTAATAAATTACAGTTTATAGTCAGCCAGAGAATAAGGTATCATATAACAGAGACTGTAAACAAACAGGTGAACTGGGATGACATGTGTAAACCAAAATCATTCAGATACAGGTACAGGTGCAGACAAACAAAAAATACAGTTTCATTCTGTTGGCCCTCTGGCTTTGATATTTTACATGCCGTACACAATTGTATATCAAGCTATATTTGATCAAATTGATTTATGTTTAATTACTCTAATAAAACAGTTGTTATTTAAGTATAAAGTATATTGTGCAGTTATTAAACCATCAATGGTACAAACAAGGGGCATAGGAAAGAGATAGACATGTAAGTCTCATATAGTATGATGTGTAAAGGCAAGGCAAGGCAAGGCAAGTTTATTTATATAGCACTTTTCAACACAAGGCAATTCAAAGTGCTTTACAAAAAATGAAAGAGATTAAGAAAATGGCATTTAAAATCAGTCATTAAAAACTATGACTAAAGAACCAGTTAGTTCTAGTGGTGGCCCTACAGGCCCGGGGCTCTATTATAATAATTGAACATCCTGCACTGCCGGGAGCATCATAACTTTATTTTTATTCCTAAATATTATAGACCAGAATTACCGGCTTTCAGTTTACCCTTAGGTGAACAAATGTCATCACTTCAATAATTGCATCATATTATACCTTTGCGTGAAAATGTCATAATCAGCATATGAACTCTAGAGTTATGGACGAAATGTGTTTCGTGAGGTGAACCTTTGACCACCAAAATCGAATCAGTTATCCTTTATTCTAAGTAGATGTTGTGAAATACATTTACCAGAATGGACAGTGAGACAGACATATGAATGAAAACGTGCAAACATAAACACTATAGTAACTTTGATTAACCTACATATACTTATTATAAAATCTTTACATTTCATTACCATTCTCTATCTTTTCCTTTTAACCACTTATCCCTTATTAATTATTATTCAACCTTTTTCTAAATTAAGTAGGATATATCCACATTCACCAACATGTGTGGTATTGACCCTCTCTGGGATTTGTAGTCCTACCCTGTGACACATTTGTCCTACACGATGAACTTGGGGGGAGGGAGATCCATTAATCCGTCGTAATTACCCCGGCCCATCTGTCTGTCTTTCTGTCTGTTCAACATGTCATCATCTGTTGGTCTGTCACGCACAATGTCTTCAACACCCCTGACTGGGCGTAATGAAACTTCAGGGCATGATTGCATTGTTCTGACTTTTTGGAAAATACACTGATTGGCCAAAGTGAGATGTAAACAATAGATTAATAAACGGTTGCATGATCATAGTTTTATTCCTTAAGTGAAACATTTTGGAGTTCACTTCTTTTTTTCTTTTTTTTTGTGAGATACAGGCAGTTTATTTTATTTTAGTAAATGAATATGAATACAAATGAAGGGTAAATAAACACAAAAAATCATAGTTCTTTAAAACAATGGATGCTCAGATTTGTAGGTACATTTGAGAATAGGTGAAGGATACGCCTCACTGCTCCATTGCGCCTGTTTTATAATTGGTCTAAAAAGCCTAAGGGATCCACATTAACTACAACATGTATTTGGTCATTCATGTACAAACATTAAATAAAAATGTTTCTCATCAGATTTGCAGGAAACAGGAGAATAGTTTGTATAATTTCTCTGTTTCAGGGTTTTCCAACTGGCCATTTGTCCTGAGGGGGGCCCTGTAGTGTTTGAGCGCCACACTTTATGCCACACAAACTCCCTTGAATAAGAGACTGGCACCTGCTCTTTCCCTGCTGTAAAAACAGCAATTAAGAAGCAGAAGCATTTTTCGTATTACCAAAAACGGTACCACTAAGGTGCCGCACAACCTGTTAGTTGGTTTATCCTTAGGCCTCAGTGAAGCTACGAAAAATGTGTGGCCAATTAAACATATAAAACTCATGATAATAAACCTGTAAAATATTTAGAAGGAAATAAAGAGTACACTGTAAGACTGTATAGGAATCATTTAGGATCCAAACATATTGTTGTGTATTTAAACTGTATTCAGGATATTCTAAATATTTAGTATAATGCTACATTTTTTAAATATTATGTCTTACATTTTCCGCATACTTTCACTATTGAGTTGTTCACCACAGCATGGTGCACAGTAAGTCTCTTTAGGAACATAGTGGCTTTTGTTAAGGAAGTCACATGAATAAACAATGCACTGCTGATGGGAGACGTGCATTACTTGGGTTTTTTAATGCCAAACAAACACAGGTCTGCAGACCCTGTGGGCCTGTAAGACCACCGTTTATGTCCTGCATTTACATCACCACTTAGATGTATAGTGGTCAGCTGTATATATATATATATATATATATACTGTGTATATACATACTGTGTATATGGTGCGTGTGCAGGCTGTGTGACATACTTAAACCAAATGAGTAATTGCAGAACTCGTTGTAAAGCTGCATGGCTTAGAATATGCAGTATGTGCTGAAGATAGAGCATTACTGATTGCTTTTGCACAGAGACAATGTGACTTTTTGATGAAAACATGTGATTATTTTATCCTACAAGGGCGACATCAGATCACTCCCATATAGCTTTCAAATTTGTTTTCAGTTTAGTGCACTTTAGTAGGCTATAGGGTGAACTAGCTCTGCTGCTCTAATGCACTGCCATATTAACAGCCGCCCACATGTCTAAATGGACATGTTTAATTTAGAGGTTTGGTGCACATATTTGCTGTGAGTGCATTTTAGGGTCGCTGGTAAATGACAGATTACTCACATTTGTGTGAGCCTATGTAATCCGATTCCGCTCCAGTTCATCTGTGCAGACCTCATGTCGTCATACTGTAGCAGCCTACTGTAGGAGCGCTTCAGCCTCGCAGGCATGAGCAAACAGCCGCAGAATCATCCAACACGGATGCACTTTGCACGGCTGGGAATAACATGGACAGCTGTTAAATGTCCAAATAATAATTACAGCCCCGAACAATAAGTAGCGTGATCACGCGATCCTGGTTTTTGATTTCAATGTTTTATTCTCAAATGTTATGATTATCTGCTTTTATGTTAAAAGCTTTGTTTTATATTGTAGGCTATTCATTATGCTTTTTAAATAAAGTTGAATGTTATTTGTATTATTTATATACATGTTTATGAATAATAATAATAATAATAATAATAACAATAATAATAATAATAATACTTAATAGTAGGCCTAGTAGTAGTGTTTGTAGTGCTGTCTGTAGTAATAAGCATTTTATTACAGTTTGTACACGTCCAACTCAAAATATTTGCAATAATATTTAAAAAAAGAGCCAGAATAAGAAAATCTTACCACATACAAAAACGAAATTACTGATACTACTACTCACTAGCTAAACTACTTTATAAATAGTAGTAGTAGTAGGCTACACTATGCATTTCCTTTTTTTTTATGTTGTTGATATTTTACTTTTTCAAAACTTATTTTAGTTGAATTGTAGGTATTTTTATTATTATTTTGTTTGTATAAAATGTGCCTTTAGTAAATCCGTATTAAAATCTGTTAAGGTCGATCTTCCGAAACCTTTTTTCCCTTTATAAAAGGCTACACATTGTAGCTCATTATTCCTATTTGTGTGATGCCATCTCTCTGTAAATAATGATTATGATAATGATAATTACTATTATCCTATTTGTTTTGGAGTCCAGACTGATGCGTCTGCTCGTTGTCTCCATCGACTCGCTCGACACTCGACTACCTGACTGTACACCAAACTCGCTGCGCTCTGACCACTGCAACTTTTGCAGAGACTCCTCACTCCACAGACATGTCGCACTGATAGCTGAAGTAAAGCTGTCACCGTCCGCGGCTCATCCTCCGAGCCTCCACACACACACACCGCAGCCGGCTCTCCATTGCACCGCCTGTCCTCTGGCGCTCCCCTCGCATCGGACCGTACCTTTTGGAAACGCCTGGATATGAATTATGAGCATTTTCCTCACTAATGAACTCGACCAGTAATGCAGGAGACCGCGGCGACTCTCTCATCACTGTTTCAAGATGGCAGATTTTCATTGAGTTTTGAACAGAAATCTCGCTTTATTGTTCTGCCATGAATAACAGAAATCCTTGCACCGATGGCCCCTGTATACGAAGGTAAGATGCTTTTGAAAATGTGCTGCCCCCCCCCCCCCCCCTGTGCGGAGCTCTGTCACTGAGCCTACTGTATCAATTGTGATACAATTGCGGCTGATACGGAGAGAGAGATGCGATGCACCCTGTCCTCTTCCTGTAAAAACATTACATCTATATTTACATTATGTTATCTAAACCTTCTATAACTAGGCTGTCATGTTGCCTGCAGATTGGTGCATTACTGCTGATAATCTTAGTTAAAGAATAGCCTACGAGTAAATACTCAGATTGAGCTGCCAGACTGAGCTGTGTCCGTTAAAATAGCGTTGAGAAAGCAGTAAATGCTCCAAAAACAAACATGTTTTAACATAAAGCAGTGAACATGCTGTAAATGTTGTTTTGTCAATCATGTTTGTTCGTGGTTAAAATTAAAGATCTGCTGAAGAAAGAATTAAAGGTCGATCAGTGCGAGTCTCGCCTACAGTATGTCATTCTCCTATCTCCGATTATTGCACACCATTATTAACACAGACTGACTTTAGATCGTTCATTGCATCTGTGAATTTAAATGTTTTTTTTAATTTTTTTCTTCCGGGAAGAACGAGGCAAGCTTAAATAGAAGCGTGTATTCGCTATCGCTACAGCAGCTGTGACTAATCCAATTGAAAAAATGCTACCCTGCATGCTTCCCTAAATTGTTTGCTGTCATACGGGTTTTGTGTTTCTTCTATTCTAAGAGAGTCTAACACACACACACACACACACAATGTGTTTACTTCGTTGCAAGGTTGGTTATACATGTTAAACATTGCCACTATATTCCGTGCATGATCTTGTGCACAGTGGATAGGATAAATGCTACTTCCCAAATTACACTAATATAATTAACTGTATGATCAAAGACGACTTTTAGTATAATAACATTGCGATGTTACGTTATGTTGCTTTAATTCCGCTGTAGTAATGTTTCATTCAGAAATATACCTCCTGTAACCCGTAGAGATGCTTTTCTGACAATAAGACAGATGACCTGTAACAGTATTTATCAAGATGGCTTACATGCGAATCACAAGCTTATGCAAACAAAACAAATGATGACCCCTTATATTTCTAATATTTATTTTAGAGCAACCCAATGTTTGATATCTTCTCCTACTCTGTAGTCCCTCTGCTGGTGTAAAAGGGGAGCCCTCCTCTTCTATTAAAAACTACTATTGAGAAAAAAGAACTATTGAAAAGTGATATTACACATTTTAGAGTGGTATAACAAAGATCACACACAGAAGTATGCTCTAATATATAGATAGAATGTTGAGGTTATTAAATATGCTGCTATAGAAGATACAGTATTATGAGTTTGATACAGACTCCTCACTGCAGTCATGTCATGTCACTATGGGAACATTGTGGTGATTTTTCATCATGGGTGTTGAAGCCTACAGGCATGGCGTTTCAACATGAAAAGGAAAGTTGAAATGAGACTCCTATGCAAAAAGGTAATTAGTGTAAATTACATTCCCCGGCTTCCCCCCCCCCCACCACGCAGAGGAGGAGAAGGGAAGAGAAGGAGGCGGCAGGGGGAATTAATTACCTTGCCTGTCCTCCTCAGTGTTGGAGAAGCCTGTTATGTAGAGCAGTCATGGAAATGACCAAAGTCTCCTATGGAAAATGGGTTCGGGGGGCCAGGCACAGAGTAGAATTAGACTGGCTATTATGGTGATTACTCACCCTGGGCTACAGGGCAGCTAATAACTAAAATCTATATGATGAACTGCTTCCTTTGATGGTAAAAAGTTGAGCTTGTTGAGGAAAAACACTTTACAGTAGACATTTGTTTGCTTAACTTGATTTCACATTAGTAGGAATTATGTGTTTTAACACGGTGGAGACGTTCAGGAATGTTTAGAAGCTGATAGTCACGGTTGTGTCCATGTTCGTGTTTTTTGTTCCATTTTTTCGGTGTTTGCCTTTGGTCCTCTCGGCCCAGACAGAAGGCCATCAGGCGCCTGGGAGCCCGCTCTCATAACCCAAACTGACACCTTGATGGATGTCAGATGAACGGAGCAGGTCCAGCAGCCCCCAGCTGTGGAAAAGCTAATATTCACACACTGCAAACCCTGCCTGCCCGCCTGCTCTCTTCCCTGGCTAGATATTGGTTGTGTGGTGTGCTCTTGCTTGCATGTGTGCATGTGTCTCTATCTGCGTCCGCACACATGTGCCATCAACCCATTTGTAGGGCAGGCCTGCAAGAGGATTAGACAGCTGCAGAGCTGGGCACCAGGCAGGGAGGCAACTTCATTTGCCTCTTGCAGGTCAACCGTTATATTCCAGAGAGGACTCATTCATTCATTCACACCTGGAAAAACGGACAGAGTATGACTCAGAGGCTGATGATGATGATAGTGTTGACAGACACTGCAGCATCACAGGCAGATGAATGTTTTATCCATCCACACGGCCATTATGAGTTAATGCAACTTTGAATTACCATGGTTTCCAGGTATGGGAGGTGCACCCTGCCCTTGTTTTAGAGGAAGTTCCTCCTCTGAGGACAGAAGGAAAGGCTTTCCCAGAAACTGCCCTCAACTCTCCGTCTCCCTCCCGCTTCCCTCTCACGCTTGTTTGGACCCGCTTGATTGATATCTTCCTCACAGGCCGCGACCCAGGCTTAGACTCCAAGGTTGCAGCTTTTTAAACTTTGATTAGAATTGCAGGAAGAACCCTGGGGGCCTTTGGGGGGGCCGCGCCCTATGTTAGAGTCAGGGGAAGCAAGGAGGGTCTCTCTTCCTGACTGTTATGACAAGCAGGGTGATGTGTTTAGCTCTTCACTGTCCACAACGGAGAGAGGGAAAGCCTGTGGAGGGAGGATAGTTAAATGGCTCACAGGAAAGAGCAGTCATCACTCAAATCCTTGTACCATTGTGAATGTTTACCTCTTGTTTCTCACTGTCACTCAGCAGCTGTTTTGATCTGTTTGTTGACCCTATACATCACCTCATGACTTGTTGTTTTGAAGGCGGTTCCTCCGCAGGATTATGAAAATGGATAAGCTGTCTTTACAAGTATCGGTTTTGTATTATTCAAGGCTTCCTATCTGAAAAGGAAAGAGAAATCCAGTGTTCAGGGATTCTTTGTGCTATTGATTTGTTGAAGCATTTAGTAGAAGAAGCAGAGGCTTTAGAGGGAGATAGAATGTGAGTTTTGTTTAAGCTAAGGTGTGTGTGTAGCTCTCAGATGAAGACGAGGGGATATGTGAGCTCTATGATGTGCTGAAATAGTTCACAGGTGTGATCTGAGGGTTTTGAAAACAGATGAGGGGGGGAAGGGGGGACGTCAGACTGAACCGAAATGACAGGTTAGTAGAGGCCAGTCTGACACAGGAGGCCCAGCCTTGAATATGAGCAGGATACTTCCTGGATATTCCAACAGTCCAAACTTTTCATATACTCCTTTCAGCACATTTCTCTGGAGTGAAACTGCCTCCAGTACTCCAGCACATCATTCTTTGAGCTCTTTTTCTCTCCTTTTTTTTTTTTTAGCTTGAGGGAAATTCAATTGAGATGCGAGGGGACTTTGCAATTCTCATTTTCTCTTCAGTCAGTAAGCCTCCTGTTTTAGTGCTTCTGCCATATGCTTCAGACCTCTCTCGGAAACGACTCCGAAAGCTGGGCTCCGAGGTCCTTGAAGCGGGAGACCAATTGTCAATTGCTGACATTAGTTGTTTTTTATCGGAGGGTAAGGGGGAGGCTGGCTGAGATGGAGCCTCTACTCTGTCGACTGCTTACACAAGGCATTTCCGTGTTGGTTGTCATGCATGTGTGAAGGCCTTTTTTCCCCCTGCACTGTTGTTTCACACTGTGTTTGGTGTCAGCTTGTGTGGAACAGCTGCCTCTGGCTCTGAGTAGCTGTGTAACGACTCCAGGCTCTGTTAAAGGAGGATCCAGTGTAGCAGGCATCTTGTTGCTGGCCTGTAATATTTAAGATTGTATGAGTTGCAAATATTAAGGCCTGCAACTAACAATAACTTTTACCGCTCAATTAATCTGCAGATTCCTTTCAAGATCAATCAATACATCATTTGTTCAGAAAATGTCAGAAGAATGTGCATCCCGATTTTTTAAAGACCAAGGATGTCCTTAAATGTCTTTGTTCTGTCAAAAAGCTAACAATATTAAGTCAATAGAATATAACGCATAGAAAAGCATGAAGACTTCATATTTGAGGGACTCAATACAGTGTTCTACCATTTCTCATTAAAAAAGCAAAACAATAATTAAATGATCAGAAACGCTGGTTATTATTCTTTTGACAATCCACTAATTGATAAACCATTTAACAGTTGCAGCTCTACAAGTATCTGATATCTGCATTTATAAAAACCATGATAGTGCCTGGATTCCGGGGATGAACACTGTAAAAACAAGCAACTCCTAATTCTTTGACTGCTGAATGTGTAATTTGTTCCCTAAATGGATTAGTAGCATTTTGGAAACAATTTTACTTCTCTCAGCAGGATGCCACATTAACTTAAATTTTGTTCCACCTTTTTGTATTTTAAGGATCTGTGTGGGAGACAGAAATAAATGAATGTCCCTCTTAAATATAGATAACCTCCTCTTGCTAAAAGTAGAGTAATAACGGCTCTACAGCGAGGATGAGAGCAGCATCTGTTGAAAAAGCACTGAGAGTCTCTACACCTTATGACACATCCAATGCTTTGATCTGCTATGAGAGCCACGGTTCAGACAAAGGTTCACATGTTACTGCTTCTCAACACAGCACAGGGTGAATGAGGCCTTTTGTTAACTGGGGCCTGCTAAGCAATAATTACACAGGGATTCCTTGAGCATAAAGGGCACTTTATATGCTCAAGGCTTCAAATCGGTTTTTTATATACAGTATATTCAAGTGGATTATAATGCACAGTGCAGAATGAGCATGCTCACTTTGCTATCATCACTTGCCAATGACCAATCCAATTCCCACCCCGCGTCCCCCGCCCCGCCCCCACATCTATCTCT